CCACAGCTCCAGCCCACCATAGCAGCTCAGCCACAGACACCGGGCCAGCCACCAGCTCCACCACTGCTCCAGCCCACGGCTCCACCACCGCTCCAGCCCACCATGGCACCTCGGCCATGGACACTGGGCCAGCCTCCGGCTCCACCACAGCTCCAGCCCACCATGGCACCTCGGCCATGGACACTGGGCCAGCCTCCGGCTCTACCACTGCTCCAGCCCACCATGGCACCTCGGCTATGGACACCGGGCCAACCTCCGGCTCCACCACTGCTCCAGCCCACGGCTCCACCACCACTCCAGCCCACCATGGCACCTCAGCCATGGACATCAGGCCCACCTCCGGCTCCACCACCACTCCAGCCTCCGGCTCCACCACAGCTCCAGCCCACCATGGCACCTCGGCCATGGACACTGGGCCAACCTCCGGCTCCACCACCACTCCAGCCCACGGCTCCACCACCAGTCCAGCCCACCATGGCACCTCGGCCGCGGATACCAGGCCAACCTCCGGCTCCACCACCACTCCAGCCCACCATGGTACCTCGGCCACGGACACCGGGCCAGCCTCCGGCTCCACCACCACTCCAGCCCACGGCTCCACTACCAGTCCAGCCCACCATGGCACCTCGGCCTCAGGCTCGACATCAGGCTCAGCTTCCACTTTGGTCCACAATGGCACCTCTGCCGCCGAGTCTACCACAATCCCAGGCAGCAAGAGTACGCCATTCTCAACTCCCAGCCACCATTCTGATACTCCTGCCACCCTTGCCAGCCATAGCACCAAGACTGTTGCCAGTAGCACTCACCATAGCATAGTACCTCCTCTCACCTCCTCCAATCACAGCACTTCTCCCCAGTTGTCTATTGGGGTCTCTTTCTTTTTCCTGTCTTTTCGCATTTTCAACCTCCAGTTTAACTCCTCTTTGGGAGATCCCAATACCAACTATTACCAAGAGCTGCGGAGAAACATTTCTGAATTGGTGAGTATCTGTCTTTCCTTCCCCATGCTCCCCTGAAGCAGCCTTCAGAACTGGCCACACCCTTTGCATCAAGTCTGAGTCCTTTCCCTCTCACCCCAGTTTTTGCAGATTTATAAACAAGAGTATTTTCTGGGCCTCTTCAATATCAAGTTCAGGTACAGTTCTGGGTGTGGACTCGGTGGTTGGAGGGTGGGTGGCTGTCATGACTGTAGGGAGGGACTGGCACATCCGGGTTGGGGGAGAGCGCCGAGCCAGAGCTGCGACCCGTGGCTGAAGTGCCCATTTCCCTGTGACCAGGCCAGGATCTGTGGTGGTAGAATCGACTCTGGCCTTCCGAGAAGGTACCACCAGTGTCCAAGATGTGGAGACACAGTTTGATGACCGTAAAGAGGAAGCAGTCTCTAGATACGACCTGAATGTCTCAGCAGCCAGCGGTGAGGCTGCTTCCCTGCCTGTAGCCTGGCACCATGCCGTGGCCCCTCTCCCTCCAGTGTCTGGGTCCCTGCCCTTTCCTTAGTCCTGGCAGCAGGAGGGGCACCTCCTTTGGGGGACTGCCCTGACCGCTGCTTTTCCTTTTAGTGCGTGATGTGCCATTTCCCGTCTCTGCCCCGTCCGGGGCTGGGGTACCAGGCTGGGGCATTGCGCTGCTGGTGCTGGTCTGTGTTCTGGTTGCGCTGGCCGTGATCTATCTTGTTGCCTTGGTGAGTGCAGTCCCTGACCCTGATCAGAGCCCCGCTGCTAGAAGGCACTCCGTGGCCCACCATAATCTCCTGTATCCCCAGGCTGTCTGGCAGTGCCGCCGAAAGAACTACGGGCAGCTGGATATCTTTCCAGCCCGCGATGCCTACCATCCTATGAGCGAGTACCCCACCTACCACACCCATGGGCGCTATGTGCCCCCTGGAAGTACCAATCATAGCCCCTATGAGGAGGTGAGGTTGGGCCCCACAGGCTGGGGGTGGCAGAGGCTTTGGCTGGTGAGGGTTCTGAAGGGGGTACTTGGAAAACCCAGAGAGCTTGGAAGAGGTGAGAAGTGGCATGAAGTGAGCAGAGGAGGGCCTGGCAAGGATGGGGGGCGGAGGTCCGAAGAGTTCTGGAGGACAGGCCTGGGAGGAGACCACGGAAGAAAGGGGACCTCAAGAGGGGGTGGCCCCACTGCCAGAATTCCTAAAAGAGCATTGGCCATCAGCATTCATGCTGGCTGGCGCTGGCTGAACTGGTGTCACCGTGGCAGTTTTTTTTTTTTTTTTTGCACCCAGAGGCAAAATGGGTGGAGCACGATGCGCAGGGGAGCCCTTCCTGAAGTCATAGGGGTGAGCCCCTGTGCCCCTAATCATCTCCTGGGAATGGAGGGTAGACCAAGAAAGGCCGGTGTAAGGGGAGGTTTCCTAGGTAGAGGAAGAAGTGTCAGCAGACCAGGTGAGCCTGGGTGCCAGTAGTGTTCTTGGGAGCTTCAAGGAAGCAGCGAACCCTCCCTCCTTCCTCCCCTGGCCTTTCTGTATGGAACCTAGTAAATAATTACTGGAGCCACCTGAGGCTGGAAAACCACTCTGGGTGGGGGAGGAGAGAGGAGTTTATTTTTCTTGCTCCTATTTTCCTCCTGGAGACCTCCCTCTCTCAGTTTCACAAAGACAGAGATACACACACACACACACACACACACACACACACCCCCTCCCTGGGCTGGAACAGCAGAGAATGGAGGGACAAAGGGGTTGCAAGGGAGGCCAAGGGGGCTGATTAGAGCCAAGGAGGAGTGAAGGAGAGGGAGGGAGGAGGACAGCCCTGTTTACAGTCACCTGGCTGGTGGGGTGGCAGGTGCTCTCTCCGACTTAACCCTTTGAGAGCTGGCCAGAACCCTGGACGGATTACCCAGCTTGGGGTGCCATGCAGGGGCTCTGGGAGGTACCTTCTGCTTCTCACCTGGGATCTCTTTTCCTTCCACCCAGGTTTCTGCAGGTAATGGTGGCAGCAGCCTCTCTTACACAAACCCAGCGGTGGCAGCCACTTCTGCCAACCTATAGGGGCACGTCGCCTGCTGAGCTGAGTGGTCAGCCAGTGCCAGTCCGCCCCACTCCGGCTCTTCAGGGCCAGAGTCCCCAAACCCTGTTCTGGGCTGGTGAGTTGGGAGTTCAGGTGTGCTGCTCACAGCCTCCCTCAGAGGCCTCACCAAGTTCCTGGACACTTCTCGGCCTGTGGAAGCCCGTGCCTGCCCCTGAGGGCTTATGCCTGGGGAGTGGTGCGGTGGGAGCTCCCAGGAGGTCTGGCCCAGAGACCCCGGAGATGGCAGGGAACCTGGACAGGACTGAATAAAACATGGTCTTCCGCTGTACCAACTTCTGATCTTTCATCTGTGACCTGTGGGCAGCAGGGCGGTCGGTCAGAATGTGTGTGAGGGGCCTGGGGGAGGAGACAGGGAGGCCAGGAGGCAGGAAGGAGCAGGTTTGTTTGAGAAGCAGGAGATGTGAGGAGGAGGTGACGTTGGGGAGGAGGGGTGGTCTGGGGAGCCACCTCTGGCTGACCCTGGCAGCACAAGAGGAAGGAGGAAACGAAACCCAGGCGGGTTTTGGAGGGCTAGCGTGACTGGGCTCTGTGCGCCAACAGCTCTCCCTTGGCGTTGCCTGGCCCATACTCTCCTCTCCTCTTGGCACGGTGCCCCCAGGTGCCTCTATTCTCAGCTGCCTGGGTGTGAAGTAAATCCTAGGGCAGTGATAACAGCCCAGAGTCAACAGGGCTGAGATAAGCGGGGGCCAGTTAGATCCGGGCACTGGCATCAGGCCCGGCCCCCACCTGACCCTGGCTGCCCCACCAGCGCACTGCCCCTGGGGTGGGCTCCGCAACACCCTGGGAATGGGGAAGTAGTTCTGGTCCCCTGACCCGTTCGGGCCCAGGCATGTTGCCTGTCCCCTCAACCGCAGGCCCTGGCATTCCCCCAGGGCCTGGGTGCCACCGGCCTAGACACCCTGGCTGGGGCCTGCCACCGGCAGCCGGAGAGCTACGTCCCCTGGCGGTTGTGGTGGGCTCAGGCCGGGCCAGGCCGTGTGAGGCAGGAGGCCCTCCTCCCTCAGGTGCCAAATCTATCCGGTACGCCGGCCCAGAACCACAGCCCAGCACCCTGCCCCCTCCTGCCCACCACACCCAGCACAGAAGCTAAGAGGAATGGTCACGCTCAGGGGAGGCAGAGATGTGCCTGGCATCACAGTTTATTGTTTATAAACCATGAAAATAACAGCTGTTGCTTGGCACAGGCCTAGCAGAGCCCACTGCAGGGGGATGGCAGCAGGCACCAGAAGCCTTGCCTGGCCCAACCCTATGGGAACACCCAGACTCAGCTGGGTCCCCAAGGGAGACTTGGCACGTTGGCATGGGTGCAGGACAGGTAAAGCATGCAAGAGAGAGAGAAGAGGGACTTAAGGGGCATGCGGCTGTGGGGTGTCAGGACCCAAATAAATAAAGCAGGATGACAGGGTCCCCTTCCCCTCACCAGGAGTGCCTGGACAGCATCCAGCCCAAAAGCCTGCCTGTCCCAAGGCTGCAGTTCAGCATCAACAGGGCAGGGAGCGGGAGATCATGCCCAGTGTTCAGGGGCCCTCCCTCCCAATCAGCCTGGGGGCACAGGACAGGGATGGAGAAGGGGCTCTCTCCATGGCTTGGGTGAGATGCCAAAGGCAGGGCATGGGGCAGACGCAGTGGGGGTGGGGGCTTGGCTAACAGGCAATGGAGAGAATGGGAGCCATCCAGAGAGGTGGGCAGAGGAGAGCCCCTGGGTCAAGAGAAAACCCTGGGAAGACATAGACACAGGGGAAGGGGCAGGGCCGCATTGTAGGAAGAGTTTGGGGGGAACAACCTGGGCAAAGAGGTTTGGGGGCCAGGGCCCAGGAGGACCCCAGGTCTGCATGAGGGGCCTGGAAGGCTCAGTCCAGCTTGGCAAAGCCCCCAATGGTGACTTTCCTCTCAGGCTTAGTACCCACTGGCTCCTGTAGCTGTACTGCGCCACCGCCGATGAAGCAAAAGGCAGGGCACACAGGCCCTGAGCAGTCCAGGGGGCACTCCAAGAGCCCACGGAAGGACACGGCATCCAGGAAGGAAACCCGGCCCCGTTCGTAGTCCAGGCAGATGCCCAGGCGGGGCGGCAGGGGCACTGTGCAGCCGGCTGTGGGGCCGTCCCTCCCCGTCAGCCCGGTGTTTGAGCTCGCCCCCGACCCCAGCAGGATCTTGCCCATGCCGATGGTTAGGAAAGCGAAGGGCGGCGACGCCTCCACTGTGGCATCCTCGGCACCGCTGTCGTGCCCGCTGTCCGGGTCGTACCTGCAGAAGCGGGCATTGGGTACAAGATTTTTGAGGGATGGAGTGACGGATGAGGTGCCGAAGGGAGATGCTGGAAGGATGGAATGCTGAGGAGCAGAAGGTTGGAGGGATGGATTTGGGGTGTTGCAAAGAAATCGCTGAAGAGGCAGGGTAGAGTACAGGGTCAGGGGCTTGGGTTCGGTGGGAAAGAGCATTGAAAGGAAAGCACATTGGCAAGAGCACTTTGGCACATTGGCAGGGAGGACAGGAAAGACAGTCATTGGTAGAGCACGTGGAAGGGCGTCAAGAAAGATGGTGTTGGGGAAATCATGCTGGGGAGAGGGTTCTGAGGACTAGAGGATGTTGGGAAGAATCCCAGATCACTGACTAAGGAGAGAAAGGAAGCTGGGAAGGTGGGCGTCAGGAGATAGATGAGGGTGGATTGGTGTCACAGATGAAGGGTGTCAAAGGGATGTGGGGTTGGGGACAGTGGGGTTTAGGAGGGGATTTGTGTTGGAGAGAATGTGCTTTGAAGAAATGAGGTATTGGGGGATACAGTGCTGGGGAGAAGGCTCAGGAAGAAAAGCATTGGTGGGAGGGTGTTAAACAGGGAGTTGGGGAGAGGAGGGATATGGAGGTGGGGTGTTTAAGGGAAGAATTTTAAGACGTGGGTGGAGGAGGTCTTGGAGAGCAATGGTTTAGTGGAGAAACAGTGTTGGGAATGGAGTATCAGGGAGAAAGGACACAGACGCTTGGAGAGATGGTGCATTGGTCCAGAGTGACAGATGGTGGGAAGGAAGCAGAGATGGCCCCTCTTCTATCATCCCCTTCCCCGACCATACACCACGCTCTGAAAATCGGTCCTCGAAAGCCCTTTTGCTGAGCCCATGCCTCTCCTGGCCACAGGGCTCCCAGTCTGGCTTCCATGCTCCTACTTCTCCCTCATAATCCTCTCCTGGCCCCACGCCACCAAATCTGTGCTCCGCTTGCCACCCCTGCCCTGCCCCTCACTCCCACCAGGACCCCCACACCCCATCCCTTCCAGAGGGGCCTGACCTGGGGCTGATCACATCGGGGGCACCCTGGAAGCTTTCTTGAAGCTTGCTCTCGAGCCCGACGCCCACCTTGACCAAGTAGGAGGCTGGGTCTACAGCACAGGCCCAGTAGCTGCGGCCCTGAGTCACAGCCACGTCGCCCAGGACCACGTCCACGCTCAGGTGGCAGCCAGTCAGCAGCCGGTCAGCAGCCAGCAGCAGGGGCAGCCCTGGAACACTCCGTACTGCTCTCTGGTCCTTGCTGATGGCCAGCCGCTCTCGGCTTGCACCCCAGCGGCCATCGAGGAAGAAGTGCAGGACTGGAAGGAGGGAGACGGTTGAGACAGAGGAAGAACTTCAGGGGCAAACACTGGTACTGGGGGCTGTGAGATTTCGGAACAGGGAAGACGTTGTGGGGGGGCTCAGCCACCAGGAATAGGCAGGGGGTTCAGGAGAACAGAGCATGGGAAACTGGAATGGAAGGCAGGAAGAAAAAAGAAGGGGGCATTCCAAATGGGCATGGGACCTCAGAGAGCGTTTTCATGATGACAGTGGGCACAAAACCAGGGCTCTGGACCTGGCTGACTCATGGTGCTTCCTCTAACCCCTTACTTGTTGCCAGCCCCAGGGACAGTCCCCGCTGTTGTGTTCCACCTGGTCACATTGCCATCACCATCAACCTATGTCTTCCAACCCACACTCTGGGTTCACCCCTGGCCCTTATACCCAGCCCCTACTTGGGTGGCAAGGCTCCCCTCTCATGCCCACCCCCTGGAGTCCAAACTATTTTCTAGAGTCACGTTGGTAACATTCATGAGACCTAACCTAACCTAGTCTGAACACTGTACTCAGACTCCCATGGAGCGCCTCACATCAGCTGAATTCTCACCACCCCATGAGGTAAGTATTAGCAATTTTTAAAAATTATTTTTTATTTATTTTTTAAGATGGAGTTTCACTCTTGTTGCCCAGGCTGGAATGCAATGGCATGATCTCAGCTCACTGCAACCTCCACCTCTGGGTTGAAGCAGTTATCCTGCCTCAGCCTCCTGAGTAGCTGGGATTACAGGCATGCGCCACCACGCCCAGCTAATTTTGTATTTTTCGTAGATATGGGGTTTCTCCATGTTGGTCAGGCTGGTCTTGAACTCCTGACCTCAGGTGATCTGCCTGCCTCAGCCTCCCAAAGTGCTGGGATTACAGACATGAGCCATGCACCTGACCTTTATTTTTTAGGGATGGGGTCTCGCTATGTTGGCCAGGTTGGTCTTGAACTCCTGGCCTCAAGTAGCCTTCCCTCCTTGGCCTCCCAAAGTGCTAGGATTACAGGTATGAGCCACTGTGCCTGGCTAATATTATCATTATCCCTACAGAAAAGGACTCTGAAGTTCAGAGAGGGTGAAAAACTTGCCAAAAGCCACCTATACGGTTGGTAAGAGGCAGAGCTGGGATTTGAACCCAAGCAGTCTAGCTCCAGAGCTAGTGTGTGTGACCCAGTATGTTATATGGCCTCTCTAGTGGCCACCTGGAACCAACCGTCAGGGCCTGGGCCCTGGCAGACCCCATACCCTTTACATAACCACTTGTGCCTGCTCACTCACCAGGTGCTGGGGGCGTGTGCAGGTGCACGTCTTCACTGTATTCACCGTAGCCAGCCTTGTTGCAGCCACGGACGCGCAGCACATACACAGAGCCGGTGTCGGGGTTCTCAAGCAGGGCACTGGTGCCCCTCACCTCCTCCCGCCGCTGCCAGCGAGCGGGGCCCGGCTGGGCGGGCACATCCGTGCGCCGGAACTCGACAGTATAGTGCCAGGCAGGTGGTGAGTGGGGGGGCAGGCGCCAGCACAGGAAGATCTGATCATAGGCAAAGGTGCGCTGGGTGTCAATGACGGGGGCCTCAGGCGCTGTTGGAAGAGACAGCGGGGGTCAGTCAGGGCCTGGCCACTGGCCTGGCATGGAGGGCAGGGGCAGGCAGGAAAAGGGAAAGCAGCGGGAGCCGGGGGGGTGAGTGTGGGTGAGAGGGAGCTGGGGAAGGACTCCTCCGGGAAATGGGCACAGGAGGGGCAGAGCAGGGCCCAAGAGAGAATGAGGCAGGAAAGCGCTGGGCTGGGGGTCAGGAGGCCTGTGTGGTAGTTCTGGGCTGCTGCTACCTCACTCTGGTCTGGAATAAGTCACTTCCCCTTTCTGGGCCTCAGTTCCCTCCCCTGTCAAAGGAGAGTATCAGATCAGGTAAGTTCTGGGGGCCCTTGCAGCTCAGACATTCTATGAGTTAACAGGAGCCCCAGGGAGGGGCAGGCAGAGGCCACTGGAGCCCACAGGCAAGAGGGCGCCAAGCAGGAAGGAAGGGGACCAGGCTCGGGAGAGAGATGCAGGAGGCAGCAAGGTGGAAAGCGGGGACAACAGAGGGACAGCAAAAGCTGATGGCAGCGGTTGGAGGTCAAGGGAAAGGAAGTGCAAGGTCAGAGGGTAAGGGTCACAAGCACAAAAGGTCAGAAAGGCCAGGATTAGTCAAGCGCCTGAAGAAGGCAGGAGAGAGACAGGGCATTGGTCCAGCGGGAGGACCACGAGGTGGGGACAAGGCAGGAAAGAAAAGAAAGCAAATGAGTGGGTGGCCGAGATGCGTGGGAGCAGCGGTGGGGGGGGAAGGGGCCGGCGGCGGGCAGGGCCCCCGGGGCAGGGCCGCTGACTTGCCTGGGGTGCTCCGGAGCAGAGTCCGCGGTGGCCACAGCCTACAAACAAAGAGAGGGAGAGGCGGCGCGGGGCGGGGTGGGAGGGTGGGGCGGGGGGGGCGGGGGGGGAGGAGTGGCTGGCCAGGCCGGGCAGGAGGCCGGGAGGTCCCCGGTGGGCACTGCCCCCCGGGCCCGCTGCTGGGGAGGAAGGGAAGAAGGCTCTGGTTGGGCATGGGGACTGGTCATCTTCTTACCTCGCAGGAAGTTAAGCTCTGTCAGCAGCTTCATTTCACGCCCCACGTCGAGCTGGCAATGGCGGAAGGAGGAGCTGGCGGCTGGCCGGAATGTCTGGAGGGCCTCAGTGGCTCGGGCAATCCTGGCATGGGGGCAAGAAAGGGTCAGGTCCTGCCATCTGGGCAGCCACCCTTCCTCTAGACTCTGTCTTGCCTGCCCCTAGAGCCTTGGCAACTGCTTTGGGAGCTGGTATCAGTTTGGCCTCAGGAAAATCCTCAGAACCCCAGTTCTCCACCTGGCAGTACTCTAGACATTGTCCTAGCTGCTGCCCACACCCTCGATGTCCCTGCCCCCTAGGAGCCCATGCCCCTGAGTACCTGTTGTGCAGCTGCTTGGCGGCTTGCACAAAGCAAGGCTGGTCTGTTTCCTTAAGTACTTCCTGGGCATAGCCCACCAGACCCGAGCCATCCAGCAGGCTCCGGTGCTCCTGGATCTGGGCGCTGAGACGGGCCAGCCGCTCCTGCTGGCATTCTTCAATGGCCTGAAGCAGTGATGCCCGCTTCTCCTCCAGCACAGCCCCCAGCCCCCGCACCAGCTGTGACACCTCCTCCTTGGCCTGCTGACCACTCACCTGCCCAGGGAGCAACACCCAAAGGATGTGTGACTTACTATCATCTTTGTGGAGGTAGCACTAGTACCGGCCTCCTCGGACGCCACAGTGTGGCTAAGGTCACGAGGGGTCTGGGGAAATCCTGCTCACCCGTTCCTACAGGGTCTGGGCTCATGGTTGCAAAGGCACCTCTAGATGGACTCAACTCCCAATCATTTGTGCTAACCTTCCTGGATCCCCACATCATAATCCTGACCCCTCAGTGACTCATCCAAATCAAAGAGGCCATGGCTACACTAATGTCCACTCGTACTGCACTAATGTCCATTGGCATCTATGCCATCCTTATTTGCCCATCCCCATGTTAGCTAGCTCAGACAACCTGGGAGAAGGTCATCATTCGTCACCTCACTCTAGCACTAGGGATGTGTGCCATCCTTGGTAGGCACCTGAACCTGAGAGCATCGGAGCTATGTGTGGGGTTTTCTGAGCTCTCTTTCTCCTGAGCTATAGCCACCCTGCCCCCACTGCAGCCCAGGTATAGCCTGGCCTGGGGCAATGGTGTTTCCGCCAACCTGGTTTAACCAGAACCTGGATACCTTACGGGCTTCCTGAGCTAGCAATGAGGTGATTGGGTCATGACCACCCACACCCCCTTCCTGCCCCCACTCCCAGGCAGGGCCCAGGGCCCACCTTTGTGCCCTCCCTCACCTCGGTGTGCCTCACAGCCTCCTCCAGCTCACAGATCTGGGTCTGTACCGTGTCCTGGTTTCCCAGGATGTATGTCAGGCTCTTTGTCAGCTTGTCCTGAGGGGGAAGAAGAAAGAGGTGGGCATCACGCCCAGCTCTGCAGAAGCCAGCAGTTGGGAGGAGGTGCAAGAGGGTAAGAGTGTGAGTTGGCACTAGGGTTGGATGAGGGGAGTCCTTACCTTGAGGGCCTGGTAGGCACTGAGCACTGGTGTGATCTTGTGCCCACTGTGGGTGCGCCTCACCCGGCAGAGTTGACATACCAGCCGTTGGCATGTCTTGCAGTAGTGGGTCACCTCTTCCTTGTGGTCTGGGCACATAAGACCCTAGGGACACAAAGAGCAATAGGATGGTCAGTCAATGGTGTGGGTAAGGGTGCTATGCTATCACGACAGCAGTTTGGTGCCCTCCCTCCACTGGCAAGATGGGAGTGGAGAAATCTGCCGGTGGTGCTCCACAGTGCCACCTGGTGGTCCACACTGGCATCAAAGCCAGCCTTTCCTGCAGTCTCCGGGCGGTGCCCGTTTCACCAGCATTGCACCCCCCTTCATCTCTCTCACTGGGATATGTGGTAGTAACAGTAACAATGATGACAATTATTCTGAGCCTGGTAGTTAATAATTAACCTTGTCCATCTTGTTTACTGCTGTATCTCCAACACCTAGAATAGCACCATGCACATAGGTAGGTGCTCAATAAATATTTGTTTAGTGAGTGAATGCACACAAACCTTTTTAGTGTGCAGATAACACTTTTTAGTGAACAAACATTATCTCACGCCATCCTCTCAACAACCCTTCAGGTATGACTATTGCAGGTCAGATACTACCATCCCCCTGCAGTAAATCAGATGGAGGCCCGAAGTTGTTGAATGATTTGTCTGGTGACTTTCTTACAGATTCCAGAGGTAAGTGCTTGGCAGTGGAAAACTCTTCCCATCTCCTTTTGGAAACCCACAATGCCAGGCACCCCGGCCCACCTGGAGCAGCATGTCCCTCCCTCCCCAGGCCTTGTAAGGGCTGGCTCACCTTGGGGCGGAAGGAGAGGGTGGGCAGGGTGGGCTCATGCTGGGCCTTCTGGGTGCCCCAGGGGTGGAAGAGCTTGAAGCACTCATTGCAGAAGGTGGCGCGGCACTCTGTGCAGCCCTTGGTGGCCTCTAGTGGTGGGGGCTTGCACAACTGGCACAGGATGGCACCTCCCACACTCACACTCTGGCGGTACCGCTCCACCACACGCTCCAGGGTCAGGTTCCTGAAAAGCCCTGCCAGGCCCCGCTCCCCAAGCTCCACATCACCTTGGCAGGCTGGGCACGGGAACATGATCACCTGGGGGTGCAAAGCACCTCGCTTCCTCCCAGGGTATGTCCCAAAGCCTGTGGATGAACCAGGGAGGGAGAGGATGTGACAGTTACAGCTGGCTGGGTGTGGGGAAACCTGTTAAATTAAATTAGATTTTCATTATGCCAGAACTCAGCTCTCATTCGAGCCTGCATAAGCAGTATCTCCACCCCCTAGAAAGACAGACAGATGCCCCGACCAGTGATGGACTTCTTCCATCTTCCTGATGAATAGCTCGGCATTCCCACCCCCACCCTGCAGGCCCCAGTCCCACCTGACTTAAGCAGCCGGTCCAGGCGGTCTGGCTTGGGGAGAGTTCTGCGGGAGAGGCGGGGGCTGCGTGTGGAAGGGGTGGAGGCAGGAGAGGTGGGCTCGGAGCTGGGGTCCCCGCCATGTCCTATGTAGCCCTGCTGGCCCAAGACCTCCCGGGCACAGGCCTGGCACACATTGTGGGTACAGGGCAGCACCAGCGGCTGCTTGTACATCTCTTGACACACTGGGCACAGCAGTTCCTTCTCCATGTTCTTCATGCTGGTCTGTGGAGGGACCAGGAGGCTAGGTCAGCGCTTGGACACCTAGGTATACCTCAGCAGCCCCTCGGCTGCCCTTGGATACCCTAGGGGTCTGAAGAAGGAGCGAGATAAGCTACCTGCAGCTTTTCCCCAGCACTTGCCTTGGGCTGGTTCACAGACCTTTCCAGACCTCTGTTTCCCTGCTGCAGAGCTAAAGGCCCAGAGGAGGGATCGTTGGCGCTGTGTCCTCTCCAGCCTCAAGCCCAATCCCCATTTCTCCAGCCGCAGCAGCCCCAGCTGGCAGCCCCCTCACCTGCCTCCATCCCCCATCTCTGGGCAGCTCGCCCCTGGCATTTTTCTCAAGGACACCGCCCATTCTGCAGCTCCATGCAGACCCCCACTCCCTTCTCTAGCAGCACCCCCATGCCATGATTCCTCCCTATAGCCAGGCGAAGCTGGCTCTCCATCCTGCTGGCTCTATTCGTCCTGCCGCGGCTCCGGCCTGCGGCCGCTCCAGCCTCCATTCCCATCCTTCACTTCCCCATCGGTCTCCTCCAGTCCCTCTGACCACCCCATTCCCCTTCGCCCCCATCAGGCCCTCCCGCCCTCTCCCGCAGCGCAACCCGGTCAGCAGCACCCGCTTCTCCGAGCTAGCGAGGGAATTAAGAGCCCCGCCTACTCGCCCCCTCCCCACCGGAAGTCCCCCTCCCCCTCTTGGTGGCGAGAGTGGGGGTCCTCAGGCTATGCCCCACCCCCACACCTCACCTTGGTCCCTCTCTTCGCAGCCATCCCGGTCAGGGGCGCAGCTGACACAAAGGAGGGAGGGACAAGGAGGGGGGGAGGAAGTGGTGGGGGGGAGCACGGTTGGCACCGCCCCTGGGAGAGCCGGGTACGGGTTGCCATGACAACCGCAGGCTCAGAAGCAGCCCTGAGTGGGGGTGCGTGGGGTGGGGTCTTGGGGAGGGGTCCAAATTGGGAACTGCACTGTGCGGCGGCTCCTACATCATCCCCCACCTGTCCTCAGTTTTCTTGGAAAATATCCAAGCTCACACGTCCCCTCCTCATAACAGCGCCTTTCCCCTGAAGCCCCAGCCCCAGTGCACTGCTGGAGGCCACCCCAGCCCACCCGCTGCGTCTGGGCTGCTCCTAGCTCCCCAGCCCTGGCACGCCGACGCCTTCACGGCACTCACCTCCGGGCTGCTCCCGGGATTACTCTCATACCTGCATCCCGACCCTCCCAACCATTTCTGCCATCGCTAGCCCGCTGCATACATCCCAGCATCTTCCTGGATCCCCACCTGTTCCAGGTCCCAGATTGCCCCAGAACCCTATACGCCTCCCCCTTCCCTCGACCCCACCTTAACTCACACTGATGCGGACCAGTGCGTCCATGATGGAAGTGAAGGTCTGCATATCCTCACCCTCTGCCATGGCCCTACCGTGCCCGCCCGCCCCCGGATGCCCGATCCCGGCTGCGGCTGCGAACCCCGGGCTTAATGCAGGAGCCCAGTGGGGGTGTGAGGAAGGCTGGGGGGTGAGGTGTCACTGCGCATGCTCCAGGGACCTGCCTCGAACAGCGCCCGTCGGGGTAGGGGGTGGGAAATAGTTATCCCCACGTGGTTCTCAAAAGCCGGTCGGGGGGTTGGGTAATATGCAAAGGTATTTGAGGGGGGAGCCATTTCTGATATTCTCAATTTTCATTGGCTCCTAAGCTTACTCATATTAAGCCGGGGGTTAGTTTCAGAGGAAAATGGGTTCCGGGTTGGGAGCACTAAATTTTGGGTTGGGAGATGTTGAGGCAATGATCATGGGGCAGGGAGGTTTTAGGAACGTGGAATAGAGATGACAGAAATGGCAAAGAAGAGAGATGGGATAGATGCCACAGGCATGGGCTCAGTGACTTAAAGAGATAAGTGCCGCTTGTACAGAGTGGCAGCAGATGCACCAGGGAGGAAAGTCTGGGGACCAGGGCGGTGGCCGAAGATGCCCCCTCGACGCAGTATTTCCTCCCTGTCGCAAGAGGGCGCTGCGTCCAGGCGCCGAGAGGAGGCAAGAGGAAGACGCCGGGAATAGCAAGTTCGAGTTAAGCGCTGACGCATGCGCATAGCTAACCGTACCTGGTTCGGCTCCGCTTTCTTGGTCAGAGGCGCCGACTGGACTCACGGGCGGGGAATGATGGGTAACGGGACCGTGGGGTCCCCTGGAAGTGCTAGCGGGGGTCGGGGTTGGGGTGGACAAGCTTTCCTCGTCCTCTGCCAGCAGAGCTGACGTGTCCTGAGTTCCGGGCAGTGGGCATTACCACAGAACGAGATGGTTCGGGGTGTCCGGAGCTGGGGAGTACCTGGAGGTCACCGTGCGGTGTGGGGAGTTGGGGAATGTGGCTGCAGTCCCGGGAGAGTTCTTGGAGCGGGTCGGCCCCCGGAGCTTCGGGACCGGCCGAATCTGCCTGTAGCTGCCGGAGGGAGGGCCGAGCCTGACTCCGTCTCTTCTCCCATTCCCTCCAGTGGTGGGTACAGGCACCTCGCTGGCGCTGTCCTCCCTCCTGTCCCTGCTGCTCTTCGCTGGGATGCAGATGTACAGCCGTCAGCTGGCCTCCACCGAGTGGCTCACCATCCAGGGCGGCCTGCTTGGCTCGGGCCTCTTTGTGTTCTCCCTCACTGTATCCTCCCTGCGGTGGGAGGGGGCGGGCCACGTAGGCATGTGCCCTTCGCCTTCCCCACACAGCTCTGTCCCCGTTGCACGCCCTACTCCTTAACTCCCTCGAACAGGCCTTCAATAATCTGGAGAATCTTGTCTTTGGCAAAGGATTCCAAGCAAAGATCTTCCCTGAGAGTAAGTAAAAATTGGAGCTTGAGTATTTGAACTTTCTCCTTTTTAACCCTCTGAAACAGGATACTGTATTTCCAGATGCTTAGATATAAAGGTTTTTAAGGAGAAATACGTTTACTAAAGCTGTCTGAAGACAGGTGACGCTTTTTGATTCTGCACCTTGTATAGCTCCTGGAATTGGAGCTGGAAGAGACGACCTTGGAAAGCATGAAACTTTGGTACCTTCTGGCCAGCTCCCAGGGAAGGTTTGAGGGGAATAGGCAAGTTTGGGCTGATGTTTTGCATCTATTCTCTGGGAGGTGATCCTTGTTGCCACCAGAAGAAGCAGCAGGACCAAGTTCACTATGGCTTTCTGATGTGAAATTGACTCAATATTAGAGAATTCTACTTTTTTTTTTTGGGAGACAGTTTCGCTCTTGTTGCCCAGGGTGGAGTGCAATGGTGTGATCTCAGCTCACCACAACCTTCTTCTCCCAGGTTCAAGTGATTCTCTTACCTCAGCCTCCCAAGTAGCTGGGGTTATAGGCATGTGCCACCATGCCCAGCTAATTTTTTGTATTTTTAGTAGAGACGGGGTTTCTCCATGGCGGTCAGGCTGGTCTTGAACTCCCAACCTCCGATGATCCACCCAACTTGGGTCTCCCAAAGTGTTGGGATTACAGGCATGAGCCACCGTGCCCAGCCAAGAATTATAGCTATTTGAGGGGATTGGGAAGAGTCTAAATACTAGAGGCACCAAATTTCTGTGGCAGCAGGAATCCTGACCCAATCAGAATAACTGTTAAGATTATTTCCTGTTTGCGGTAATTCTTGTTCAATTGCTCATGTAATCAAGAATTGATGATTTAGTTATGTATAGACAATTAAATTTGTAACGCAAATTAAGCGTTAAGGCCAGATCACTTAAGGAATGCCACATGCTCAGAAATTCACAGCAGATGCCAGGTGTGGTACAGGCCTGTAGTTTCATCTGGCAAAACAAAGATCTATCACGGTTGCCCTTAATCTTTTCTCTTTTTTTTTGAGACAAGGTTTCACTCTGTCACCCAGGCTGTAGTGCAGTGGTGTGATCATGGCTTATGCAGCCTTGACCTTCTGGGCTCAAGTGATCTTCCCACCTCAGTCTTACCAGTAGCTGGGATTACCAGTGAGTGCCACCACACCTAGCTTATTGTTTGTTTGTTTGTTTATTTATTTATTTTTTGAGACAGAGTTTTGTTCTTGTTGTCCAGGCTGGAGTGCAATGGCGCAATCTTGGCTCACTGCAACCTCTACCTCCCTGGTTCAAACAATTCTCTTGCCTCAGCCCTCAGTGTAGCTGGGATTACAGCATGTGCCACCACGCCCAGCTAATTTTGTATTTTTAGTAGAGATGGGGTTTCTTCATGTTGGTCAGGCTGGTCTCGAACTCTCGACCTCAGGTGATCTGCCCACCTTGGCCTCTCAAGGTGCTGGGATTATAGGCATGAGCCACCGTACCCAGCCTAATGTTTTAAGTTTTTGTAGAAATTGGGTTTTACCACGTTGCCCAGGCTGGTCTCGAACTCCTGGGCTCAAGTGATCTTCCTGTTTTGGCCTCTAGAATGCTGGGATTACAGGTATGAGCCACTGTGCCTGGCTGCCCTCATTTCTTTGCCCTGTTTTAGGACTTGCTTTCTCTGCATAGCCCTTTTGCAGGCTTCCATAGTTTCTTCCATCCAGCAGTCCTGGAACTTCTCTCTGTTAGATTTTGTTTCCATGTGTATTATCTTCATTTGCTGCTTTTTTTTTTTTTTTTTTTTTTTTAAAGGGACTCTTGCTTTGTCACCCAGTCTGGAGTGCAATGGCACAAACTCAGTTCACTGCAGCCTCTGCCTCCCAGGTTCAAGTGATTCTCCTGCCTCAGCCTCCCAAGTAGCTGGGATTACAGGCATGCGCTACAACACCTGGCTAATTTTTGTATTTTCATTAGAGATGGGGCTTCACCATGTTGGTCAGGCTGGTATTGAACTCCTGATCTGAAGTGATCCACCCACTTCAGCCTCCCAAAGTGCTGGGATTACAGGCGTGAGCCACTGTGCTTGGCCTTTCACTTGCTTCTATTGGCTGGGAGGGATGGCACATGCCTGTAATCCTATCACTTTGGGAGGTGGAGGCTGGCAGATCCTTTGGCCCCAGGAATTCAAAACCAGCCTTGGCAACATAGATAGACCCTATCTGTACAAAAAATACAAAATTAGCTGCTTATGGTGGTATATACCTGTAGTCCCAGCTCCTCAGGAAGCTGAGGTGGGAGGATTGCTTGAGCCCAGGAGGTTGAGGTTGCAGTGAGCTGAAATTGCACCACTGCACTCTACCCTGGGCGACAGAGTGCAATTCTGCCTCAAAACTTTAAAAAAAAAAAAAAGATTCCACTGTGGTGGGGCAAAGTTCTTGGCCCTCTTTGCCTTCCCTGAACTCTACCGGGGCATGTGGGGTCCTGTTTGTCCTTGCTTTTGTCTTCCCACCTTCTCTCCCATATTCCAAATAACCTAAAGTCCTTTCCTGCCCCCATGAACAAGTGGATCCAAGCCCTCTGCCCTCCAAACCTGTGTCCAGGGAGCAAGGCCCTCAACTTCCAATACTGGTCACTCAGCTTAATGAATTGACTCTCATTGGCTGGCTTCTGTTGGAAAGGCCTTAACTGGATTCCCCAAATGGGAACGTACCTTGCCCTTCAGGCTCTGTTGTCTATCACCTTTCCTTTTCCCTTTTATGGGAGGAAAGCCAGGAGGTTATGTGAGATTTGGGGCAGAGCTGGTTAAAAAAAGAAAAAAATATATACATCTACATCCATGTTCTTTTTTTTCTTTTCTTTTTATCTTTATTTATTTATTTATTTTTAAAGATGGGGTTTCACCATGATGGCCAGGCTGGTCTTGAACTTCTGACCTCAGGTGATCCACCCACCTCAGCCTCCCAATGTGCTAGGATTACAGGTGTGGAGCCACCGCCCCTGGCTCTTTTTTTTTTCTTTTTTGAGCAAGGGTCTCGCCGGGCGCGGTGGCTCAAGCCTGTAATCCCAGCATTTTGGGAGGCCGAGGCGGGTGGATCACGAGGTCAAGAGATCGAGACCATCCTGGTCAACATGGTGAAACCCCGTCTCTACTAAAAATACAAAAAATTAGCTGGGCATGGTGGCGTGTGCCTGTAATCCCAGCTACTCAGGAGGCTGAGACAGGAGAATTGCCTGTACCCAGGAGGCGGAGGTTGCGGTGAGCCGAGATTGCGCCATTGCACTCCAGCCTGGGTA